TGGGCGCTCTCGCCTATGTTTCGGCCGGAGGCGTCTTGGCTTCGATTATATTGGTCCTCTGTGTGTTGTGGGTTGGTGCGATTGATGGAGTGGGGTTTGACGAAGAAGGAACGCTCTTGAATTGGAGTGGGATACCGACTACCATAAGCTTGCTTGCGTTTTGCTATTGTGGCCATGCAGTGTTTCCCACTATCTGCAATTCCATGAAAGATCGAAGTCAATTCTCAAAGGTACAAATGCACGCTTATTTGTAGGCTTACAGTATGCTCTTCCCATTCTCTGCATTACAGTATGCTCTTCCCTTTGCATTGTGCGATGCGCAAGTGCAGGTATTGTTGGTCTGTTTCCTGACGAGCACCTTCACCTACGGGTCGACAGCGGTCCTAGGCTACTCGATGTACGGCGAGCATCTGAAATCCCAGGTGACGCTGAATCTCCCCATCAGAAAGATGAGCTCCAAGATCGCCATCTACACGACGCTGATCAATCCCCTCACCAAGTACGCGATCATCATCAACCCGATCGCAACGGCTCTTGAGGAAACCTGCCCCTTGCGCAACAGCCTGCCCATAAGCATACTGGTCAGGACGGTCATCGTCGTCAGCACGGTCATCGTGGCGCTGGTGATCCCGTTCTTCAGCTACGTGATGGCGTTCATAGGCTCGTTCTTGAGCATCACGGTGTCGATACTGCTGCCTTGCTTTTGCTATCTCAAGATCGACAAAGGCTCGAAGAAGAAGAGTAGGATAGAGGTCGGAGTCATAGTCGGGATCATATTGGTCGGGTTTTTCATCGGTGTCGTGGGTACTTATTTCTCTTTGAAACAGATCATGGACCATTTGAGAAAGTGATACGATTCAACTCATTTAAGAGACCGAATGACAATGAAAGGCAAGAAAACTAACCTGCCTGCCTTTGTACAAATGTAACTCTTTTTTTTTGGACCGGAAATAAATCCATCAAGTACTTATTTCTACAGTTTTAATATCAAATCATTCGAGCGCACTCCTACATCCAACTTACAAGGAAATCCTAGAAGCACCAACGTACAATCATGATTGTTAAAATATATCTCGAGTTTGAGTTCGATAGACGAAATTCGATCCGAAATTAAATATTATTTATAAAATTTTGAATATTTCGAGTTAGATATTTTTACGGACGTCCGAAATTGAGCAATACATAAACTCTTCTTCGGGGCACACAAATTAGTCTTCTGGACGTCAGAATCTTGAAGCTGAAGCCACGGTCAAGCAAAAGAAATGAAAAGGAAAGTCCAATGGTTTGACCGAATTTGGACCCTGCATTGGATAAGGTTTGAATCGCACGGAAATATTTCCTGGGTGAAATTAGTGTGATATTTCCTATTTGAGTCCAAGTTGAAAACGTAAATTGCTTTATTGACCAAGAACTTCAGTCCACGGGTGTCAGGATGCAGATTGCTCATGAGTCATGAGTCAGGGGTAGCTCTAAGCGAAGTCCTCTTGAAGCGCAGTTTCCTCTTCGAGTGCCGTGAATCATTTATAGGTACTGGGTGCTTAGCGTGGATTTTTCTTGTAGAATTACATCAAAATTTTAAATGTTTATAACGATTAAATCTTGTAATAAAATTTATATATAATTCTTTCGTGAGATTGAGAGATTATTTCGTGAGAAATTATAGGGCTAAACACTGCGTGAGCTATTAGGTGTAATTAAGGCTTGAGAAACACTAAAAGTGTTTGAATGACTCGAGTGTGGTTTGTAATCTCTGTTGTATCGCTTAGAGTGCGCATGGTAACGATTCTGTACCTGAGAACTAATTTTACTCAGAAATGACCCTTTTTGATTCTGTGCCCAGAAACAATTTCTAAACATTTGAAGGCATTTGGTAACTGCCCAAAATTTTTATTCTTAGAATAGAAAAAGAACATAAATGCGTTTGGTAACTACACAAAATTTCTTTTATTAATAATATTTTGAATTTTTTAATATTTCTTTCTTTTTTTTTTCCTTTTTTTTTCTTCCCTTCCTTGGCCATGGCCGGTCGCCGGAGTCGGCTACCAGCCACAGGCTAGGGCCAGCGAGGGTGTCGCGGCTCTCGCTGCCGCCCTCACCGCTGGCCTCGCCATGGCTGGGCGAGGCTCGACCTCGCCCAGATCTGGCGAGGCTTGACCTCGCCGTCGCCAACCCAGGCTGAGCCTCGCCCAACCATGGCGAGGCCGACCTCGCCGTCGCCACCCAGGCGCTTGGCTGGGTGAGGCCTCACCGTTGCGGCCGCTCGCCGCCCTCGCCCAGCCGGCGAGGGCCGCGACGCCCTCGCCGGCCCTGGCCTGTGGCTAGTCGCCGGCAGCAGGCCGAGAAGAAGAAGAAGAACAAACCAAAAAAAAAGAAGAAAACCAAGAAGAATAAAAAATGGAAAAATTGTTCCAAAATCAAGAAATTACTTTTTTTTGCTTCTTGATTCTGTTCCAAAACTGATTCTGAGAATAATTTTTTGCAAAATTGTGCCCAGGCACAAAAAAATTTAACAAATGGATTTCTGTTCCCAAACTAATTCTGAGAATAAAAAAATAAAATTTTTTACTATTTAGTAACTTGCCAAACGGGCCCTTAATCTATAGTGAAATTCGTTGCTGCTCTCCCCGTGGACGTAGGTCACTATAACCGAATCACGTAAATTTAGAATCCGATTTATTTTCTTGTTCTGTTAATTTTATTGTTCGATCGCTTGACTTCGACAACAATGATCCCCCCAAAATCTATAATGATTGTGCACATCGATGTGCACCGACATGCTCGAATGTCGGTCGCCCAAGCTCAATCATATAATCATCGGGTGCTACGTAATCGACATGTTTTCGAATCAGACCCAATTTCTATTATACTCGAATTTTATTTATTTTTATATTTCTTGTTCTATTTCTATTTTTTTTATTTTTTTATTTTCTGGTCTTCTTCTTCTTCTTCACGTCTTCTTCACTGAAGCTTCACCGAGGCTTCCATCCTCCATTGCCGGAGCAAATGTTCTCCGGCCATCGGTCACCATCTCCAACCAATTTCTCACCGGAGTTCCGATCACCGCCAAACTACCCCCGTCGACCATCACTCCGGCTGTCGCCGGTCTATTATCGGCAACAACCGAGACAAACTCATTTTTTGAGAGGCTACCGTTTTCCAACCCAAACGACAAACTCAACTAAAATTCTTCAATCAGCAATCAATATAGATGAAGAAGGGACTGACTACTGCGGCCTCAAACCGCGGGCATCGCTCCGACAAAAGTGGCATGGATCTCCGTCGAAGGTTCCATCAATGGCCGACTCGGACAAAGGACGAATGTGCCACAAAATCAAAGAAATCACAGAGATAACTTGATGTCAGGATCAATACTAGAACGAATCGAGCTTCCAAAGTAATGATTCTACAAAAAAAACAGATTCGGTGCCTCTTTCAGACATATCGTCGAACAGTTAACATGCGATCTAAAAAACGAGATTCCGATTCGATTCTGATATGATTCTCAATCAAGAAGTGATGTGCATATGCCTAAATCATGTTATTCCACAACAAAGATGCCTTGTTCCATCAGATTTTTCGCACAAACTCGACAATGGAATCAACTTCTCTCGGCCAAAACAGTGTACACACAAGAAAGAAGTCTTTTACCTGGTTTGGATGGAAGTCTTCACGATCGTCTACGAACAGGAACGCGAGTCCTCCGGTGCGGCTAAACAGTGACGAACAAAACGCCGATTGGCACTTCCGAAGTACCGAACCAAAGGGACGAGCAAACTTTTCCGGCGAAGATGAAGGAGCGACCGGAGATCAAAGGGGAGGAAATTTGCCGGCAATGCTCCACGTGAATAGAGGAACCGAAGGCTCTCCTCTTCAGACCCTTCTCTTCCGGCGTCTGTGTTTTTTTTTTTTTTTTTTTTCCGTTTTCCTCTCTCTCTCTCTGGCCATGTCTCCATCGAGTGTCTCCCCCACCGTGTAATCTCTCTCGGCCGGGTATCTCTCTCCCTCCAACTGAATTGAATCCCCTTTTGAAGATTCCTCTGTAACTGAATTTAGCCAGCTCATCCAGCCTTCCAGAATTTCTTGGCCCTGATTCTGTCCCCGACGGTGATGCACAAATTCAGTCATTTTTGGGTCCGCTCACGGACGCGGGTGAGAAGGAAGAAGCCAGCTCTGGCTCTTGAACAAATTCAGTCATGTTTTGGACCGCATTTAACGTTATATTAAAATTCATGAATTATATTGAATAATTAAAAATTCAATGATCAAATTGTATATTAGATCAAAATTCAGGGATCGTTTTTGTCGTTATCCCATTTTTTTTTGGGAAATTCCTTCTTTCTTTCTTTATATTTTTCACTCTCGTGGCCAAGTATTTTTTTTTTTCTATTTTTTTTAACTATTTTCCAATTTTTTTTATTGATTTTGATTTTCTTGATTTTTTTATTATTCTTTTTTCTTAAACGAGGTATCAACATGTTGTCTAGTGTTTCTTTAATTCTCAGCCATGTTTTCGTACGAAGTGCTCCTTTTCTTTTTTTCTCAAGACATTATGAATCCATGGCAACTATACTTTTCGAAATGGACTTTCTATTATGATATCGGAACCAAATGTTGTCCCGTTTTCGCATGCTCTGCTCCCTCGCTCGTCAAATTCCATATGAATCGTTCATAATCCGGTTTACATGCGAGATGGAGTGTTAAAAGTATCACATATTACTTGTTTACGAGGCTTGTATATTCTTAATGTACATGTGGACTCTCTTCGTCAACAAACTTAAGCTTCGGAATTGGAATTTTCAATATGCTTAACGTTCTTTCTTCATTTGTTTTTTCCCATTGATCCCTCGCTTGATGCTTCTTGCCGTCGATCGTTTAGCATATTGATCCCTTCCTTGATGCTTCTTGCCAAAACCGACGTCCAAGGCTGGCAAAGCATATCACAAGAGAAGAACAAAAGAAAGAAGCATCAACGTACGGTCATGGTCGTGACAATAAAATTGTCCCCGACACGGCCAGAAAAGCAGAAACCTCTTTCCGGTTTCTTATATAAGTGTCAATTTTTTTTGCCAACAGTGGGCAACACAGTCCTGAGAGTGGCCAAAAGGAAGGAGGAATGGAGACTCAACAACACGAGGGATCATCACCCCCACAGGCCAAAGGAACCACCTTCCTCCGGACCTGCTTCAATGGCATCAATACCTTATCAGGTCTCTCTCTCTCTCTCTCTCTCTCTCTCTCTCTCTCTCTCTCTCTCTCTCTCTCTCTCTCTCTAACGAGTCATCACGTTCATCCAGTGAAGGGGTCTCAATGTGCACCGACATGCTTGAATGTCGGTCGCCCGAGCTCAATCATATAATCATCGAGTGCTATATTATCGACACGTTATAAGCATATCCGTTGTGCCATTGGCCACTAACACGCATTTGTGAATTGGAAGTTGGACATTCGCAATCTCGAAACCTTCCTCCCAACCATAGTACAATATGTTCGGGTAAAAAGTTTAGTCATAGAAATAAAAACCATTGCAATGAGACTCTTAAATTGTGCTATAGATGTAGGAAAGTTCTTTCTTTTGTCACCTTCAGTTTAGAATGAATGGTACGACAATTTTCAGGTGTTGGGATACTGTCAATTCCTTTTGCTCTGTCTCAAGGAGGATGGTTGAGCTTAATGTTTCTCTTCCTAGTAGCAATCCTATTTTGGTACACGGGTTTACTCCTACAGCGCTGCATGATCGCGAACCAGCTTATCAAAACCTACCCCGACATCGGCGAACTGGCCTTCGGGCATAAAGGAAGGGCCTTAATAAGCATCTTCATGTACCTCGAGCTCTATCTGGTCGCAGTCGAGTTCCTTATACTCGAAGGCGACAACCTTGACAAGTTGTTCCCTAACCACGGCTTCAAATTGGGTCATTTGACAATCGGAGGCAAGCAAGGGTTTGTTCTGCTAGCCACCCTAGTGGTCCTGCCGACGACATGGCTGAGAAGCTTGGGTGCTCTCGCCTACATTTCGGCCGGAGGCATCTTGGCTTCGATTATACTGGTCTTGTGTGTGTTATGGGTTGGTGCGATTGATGGTGTGGGGTTTGACGAAGAAGGAACGCTCTTGAATTGGAGTGGAATACCGACTGCCATAAGCTTGTTTGCGTTTTGCTATGGTGGCCATGCAGTGTTTCCCACTCTCAGCAATTCCATGAAAGATCGAAGTCAATTCTCAAAGGTACAAATGTACGCTTATTTATAGGCTTACAGTACGCTCTCCCCGCTCTCCGCATTACAGTATGCTCTTCCCTTTGCATTGTGCGATGCACGAGTGCAGGTATTGTTGGTTTGTTTCCTGACGTGCACCGTCACCTACGGGTCGATGGCGGTCCTAGGCTACACGATGTACGGCGAGCATCTGAAATCCCAAGTGACGCTGAATCTCCCCGTCAGAAAGATGAGCTCCAAGATCGCGATCTACACGACCCTGATCAATCCCCTCACCAAGTACGCCCTCATCATCAACCCGATCGCAACGGCTCTCGAGGAAACCTGCCCCTTGCGCAACAGCCGGCCTGTAAGCATACTGCTCAGGACGGTCATCGTCGTCAGCACGGTCATCATGGCGCTGGTGATCCCGTTCTTCGGTTACGTGATGGCGTTCATAGGCTCGTTCTTGAGCGTCACGATGTCGGTACTGCTGCCTTGCTTTTGCTATCTCAAAATCAACAGAGGCTCGAAAAAGAAGAAGAGTAGGATAGAGGTCGGAGTCATAGTCGGGATCATATTGGTCGGGTTTTTCATCGGTGTCGTGGGTACTTATGTATCTTTAAAACAGATCATAGACCACTTGAGAAAATAATACGATTCAACTTATGTGAGAGACCGAATAAAAACGAAAGGCAAGAAAACTAACCCGCCTTTGTATAAATGTAACTTTTTATTTTTATGGATCGGAAATAAATCCATCAAGTACTTACTTCTTCAGCTTTTAATATCAAGTCATTCGAGTGCGCTCCTATATCCAACTTACAAGGAAATCCTTGGTGCCTTCACTAAATAAATCGATTTGTACGGTACGGCCTTAAAATATAAATATTTTAATTACGTGAAAAATCTTATATAATAAATGAGAAAGAAAGGGGCATCGGGCTCTCGTAGCTCAGTTGGTTAGAGCACCCGTTTTGTAAGCGGGAGGTCTTGAGTTCGACTCTCAACGAGAGCAATCTTCTCTTTTTCATTTTTGCTCTTTTTTTTTTTTATCATTTTTTCTCTTTTTTTTGAGAAAAAAATTTATTTTTCATATGAGCGGCTCTATTTCCACCCTATTTTGGCTATCATACTCATTCTCTCTCTATTCAATTATCAATTTGTCTAGATAAAATTATTAATTTTAATTTATGGTATCATATTTCCAATTACAAAAGCGATGTTTAACTTTAGAAACCAACAACCTTATTCCAAAAAAACACCCTCAAGGCCAAGATCGGCTAAAAAAATATATTGGATTTTAATTTTATCTTTGAAATAAAGTTTTAATCAAATTATCTAATAAAATATAAAAAGTAAGTAATTTAGGCTGCTATAAATATAAATTTTAATCTTTAATGTGGCTTTTGTGATTAAAAATATGATAACATAATTGGGCATTTATATTGTGAAATTGATGAAAGAGATGATAGAAACAAAGGAAGAAAAGTATCAGAAAAGTCCTAAAATTATCGTATTGATACCAATTTAGTTACAAACCTTTTTTTATGCCAATTTAGTCTTAAACTTTTGATGTCAATTCAATCATTCCAACTAATTTTGACTTGATATTGATGAAATGGATGTCAGCCGGCCTATGTGGCACTGTTGGTACTCACGTGAACAATTTTTAATAATATTTTAATTTTTTTTAGTTTTTTATTCTTTTTTTCTTTCTTTCTTCTTCCTTCTGTTGGCCAACGACCATGACCAGGCTAGTCAAGGGCCAAGCGAGGGCTCCCCTCGCCAAATCTAGCGAGGCCGCCATGGCTTGGGCCGATGAGGGTCGGCCTCGCCAAGGCTCGTCCTCACCTGCGCTGGCCTCACCTGGCCAACCATTAGCAAAAGGAAGAAGAAAACAATAAAAAAATCAAAAAAATGTTAAAATATTATTAAAAATGGTGTAATGTAAGCAGACCGATGTCTAAGTCAATAATATTTAACTAAGATTAGTTGGAAGGACTGAATTGACACTATGTCAAAAAAATTAAAGACTAGATTGATACCAAAAAGAGATTTAGGATTAAATTGTTACCGATTCAATATCTTTAACACGTTTTTTTTTATGATAAAAGGCAGTTTTGCTAGTTAGTCTAACAAAGAAAAAATCGATAAATTGAAAGAATGGTATTTCAGTCGGTTATTTGAAAAAAAGAGTGCTCTTTATCCAGCTTCTTCTTCTTCTTCTTCTTCGTATTCCGTCCACAATCTCCTGCATTATCTGCTCTGAATATGGCGACGGCTTCGTCTCCACCAGCATGCACGTCGTATCCACCGAAAGAGGACGCGGCGTCGGCCTCTGCATCCTCAGCTCGTCACCCACTCTCGCTTTTGCCCAAATGCAGCTCGTTGAAGGAGCTCAAGCAGATCCAAGCCTTCGCGCTGAAGACCCACCTCCGACACGACGCCTCCGCGATCAACAAGCTCGTGAATTTCTGCACCCGGTGCCCGAACGATGCCTCCATGGCCCATGCCCAGAAGCTGTTCGACGAAATTCCCCACCCGGACATCGTCCTCTTCAACACCGTGTGCCGCGGGTACTCGCGCGCGGATGACCCGCTTCGGGCGATGGCGCTGCTCGTGCGGGTTCTGAACCTCGGTCTCTTGCCTGACGATTACAGTTTCCCGTCGCTCCTGAAGGCGTGTGCCGGCGCTGAAGCGTTGGCGGAAGGCAAACAGCTGCATTGCTTCGCCGTCAAACTCGGGTTGACCCGCAATGTCTATGTGTCGCCCACTCTTATAAATTTGTACACCGAGTGTGGCGATGTGGAGGCTGCTCGAAGGGTATTCAATAAGATATCCGACCCCTGTGTGGTTACGTATAATTCAATCATAACCGGTTATGCTCGGAGTAGCAGGCCCAACGAGGCATTATCGTTGTTTCGAGAAATGCAAGCAAGTAATCTGAGGCCTAATGATGTGACCGTCCTGAGCGTTCTTTCATCTTGTGCATTGTTGGGGTCGTTAGAGCTTGGGAAATGGATTCACGAGTATGTGAAGAGGCAAGGTTTGGATGAGTATGTGAAGGTGAACACGGCGGTGATAGATATGTTTGCAAAGTGCGGGAGTTTAGAGGATGCAGTTTCCGTGTTCGAGAACATGAAGATCAAAGATACACAGGCTTGGTCTGCAATGATTATGGCCTACGCATCGCATGGACATGGTTCCAGAGCAATATCAATGTTTGAAGAGATGGTAAGGGCGCGAGTATCGCCAGATGATATTACTTTTCTGGGGCTCTTGCATGCTTGCAGCCACACTGGATTGGTTGAGGAAGGGTACAGGTTCTTCTATGATATGGAGAATGTGTACGGGATTGATCCCAGGATCAAGCATTTTGGATGCATGGTGGATTTGCTGGGACGAGCAGGACGATTGGATGAGGCTTACAATTTCATACACGAATTGCCGATTAAGCCCACGCCAATACTATGGCGAACATTGTTGTCTGCTTGTAGCAGCCACAATAACATTGATATGGCGAAGCGGGTCATTCAGAGAATATTCAAACTAGATGATACCCACGGCGGGGACTATGTGGTTCTATCAAACATGTGTGCTAGAGCTGGCAAATGGGAGGATGTCGATTTATTAAGGAAAATGATGAATGAACAAGGGGCGGTTAAAGTTCCTGGTTGTAGCTCCATAGAAGTGGACAATGTAGTGCATGAGTTCTTCTCAGGGGATGCAGTTCATTCTGTTTCCACATCACTGCACCACACGCTCGACCAGTTAATCGAAGAGCTGAAGCTGGTAGGGTATGTCCCCGATACTTCTCTAGTCACTCACGCGAACATGGACGAGAAGGACAAAGAGATCATGCTTAGATATCACAGCGAGAAATTGGCCATTGCTTTTGGCCTTCTAAATACTCCCCCGGGGATGACAATACGTGTGGTGAAGAATCTCCGAGTGTGCAAGGACTGCCACTCTGCTGCCAAACTCGTTTCTCTGATCTTTAGCAGGCATATTATTCTCAGAGATGTTCAACGGTTCCATCATTTCGAGGACGGCAAGTGCTCTTGTGGCGATTACTGGTAGTTTTCTCTAATGGAGGTTTGATGAAAGTCATTCAAAAGTGTGCCCTGTGATATACCACTTAACAAAAGCAAATTTCCCAAGCAGGCAAGGGCATAAGGATGTACATGTCTTGCCTCAGACACTCATAGTGCTACACTATGCTTGCTAGTGACCGTTTTGTTTCTCTGCGGAACAGGATTCAGAGAAGCAAATTAAGTTTGTTTTTTGCCTCATGGAAAACCGGAGCATCTCTCTCTACTGCAAGAACTCTCCTCTCCTTGAAGGAGATGAGTAATTGCAATTGTCGTTTAGAGGCAGGTCTGGTGTGTACAAATGACTTGTTAGAATTTAAAAAAGACCAGGTGGCCAAGTTTTGCAGCGTGGAACCAACTACAAGCAAGGTGTGAAAGGGTTTTGCCTACTAGAGACAATCCATGCAATACATAAAACAGACCAGCCTCATGGTGGTTGAAGTTTTCATGCTTCTCTTATTGATGTAGTGGCATCAAGATTATCCTGCCATTTGTCAGCACCTAATCTGACTTCCGTGGAGAGTTAAGAAGATCAGCCAATTCAGTGGCCAGGTTCGCAATGTGGAAACAACTACAAGCGCCAAGCGGGTGTGAATGGGTTTTGACTGCTAAAGACAATGCTTGCAAATAAAACAGATTAGCATTATGTGTCGGCGCCTAACGCCGACGAGTTTGGTCCATGATTCCTTGATGAATATGGTAGTGGACTGATGAACTGAACCCAGATGAATCTCTAGTCTGAAAGGCTTTATTTTGGCTTCCTATGGATAGGGACTTCATATTCAACCAACTCTTTGCGAAGGCCGATCACAATCAAATGTCACTGTCTTTTGGACTTCTATGACCTTCTTTTACGACATTAAATAAACACATTAACGTAGCGTTAATTTCGTGGAACAGAGGCCAGATTTCTGAACTTTGGGGGAGTGTTCGTTCCATCGTACCCTTGATGAACAATAATGATTGCTTCTTCATTGATGACATTGAAATAGATGGATGAAGAGGTGAGAGCCGACATCATCAGAATCATGGAGCGACCGTTACACACTCGACCGGATGCATCAATCATGTGGTGTGGATTTGATTATTAAATTTTTGAAAAAAATTTTGGCAAGAAATCAGAGCATATGCTCTTTCGGATTCTACTACCAAAACCTTCCATCTTGGCCTATAAAATAATAGCTTCGTGCCATTCCTGGCATTCATGTCCTAATTACAATCACACTACTTCATCATCAACCACCCTCTTTGAGACTCCAGTGAGAGAGAGAGAGAGAGAGAGAGAGAGGGGTGTCAGAGATGATGAAGTTTCAACGTTCGATTGTGATCAATCTCGTGTTACTACAGTGCCTAGCGATCCTCGTTGCGTCGCAAAGCTTTGATTTCTTTTACTTCGTTCAGCAGGTGAGTTTTGAGTCTCGACTTTGTGGTTTCGCATTTGTCTAGATCCTAAAGCCACATTTATGCACGTAGAAGCAACTGCAATCGATGTATTTTCTTGTGATGAATAGTGGCCGGGGTCGTACTGCGACACAAAGCAGTCTTGTTGCTATCCGACCACTGGGAAGCCGGCAGCGGATTTCGGGATTCACGGGCTCTGGCCTAATTACCAGGACGGCTCATACCCTTCCAACTGCGATCCGGACAGCCCCTTCAACCCGTCCGAGGTGCGTGCCTAGTGTTCTTAACAAAATCATACACTTCACCGTTGATTGTTGTTAGTTGACACAAGCCAATAAGGGCCGTGGCTGAACTTGCTACGCTATGAGTATTAGCTATTTCTAGATGATGATAACTATGACAAGGAACCCAAAAAAAGGCGTGCAAAAATGCAGTTAACGGGACAAAAAATGGTATTTTCATTCTCTTCTGGTGAAGTGGTTGCTCCTTTTTTATCCTTTTGGGCTGACTCTTTAGAACTACAGCAGGGAAAGAACAAAGAGTCTTTAAGTAAAGACATCCTAGCAGTAAAAGGTTGTCTGATGATCTAGAATTCTTTGTCCATGAATTTGACACTAGGAAAGAACTACACATACCCAGTGACCGCTCCACTCATTAGGAGAAAGTATCGCAAATCGGCAATCAAATTAATGGTTTTGTTTTCCAGATAGCAAATCAGCAATTCAACTGTTGATTGTTAACAGAGCTCTGAGATTTCGTGTCTGCCCTGTTGTGTATAGATATCAGACCTCAAAAGTAGCATGCAGAGGAGCTGGCCAACACTGGCATGCCCAAGCGGCGACGGCCAACAGTTCTGGTCGCACGAATGGGAGAAACACGGTACCTGCTCGGAGTCTGTCCTTGATCAACACGCTTACTTCAAATCGACTCTCGGCCTCAAACAGAAGGTTAACCTCCTCCAAGCACTGAGAAGCTCAGGTAATCATATGTTTTGCTGTACTAATTCCATTTATGGGTGTCACTGGATCGGACCTCTTAATCTGGTTGGGTCTGGTATGACACGGCCAGTTCCCTTTGATCCGATAATTCTAACACCGATATGCTGTATGTGACGGAGTCTATGCTTTCACATTACCACTGCGATTTACTTCCCAAAATGTCGACTGGTCGCTTGATCTCTCCTTCATTTGTAAATTGCAGGAATAACACCAGGAGGCTCGTACAGCTTAAAGAGCATAAAGGACGCGATCACGGAAGCAGCAGGGTACACTCCTTGGATCGAGTGCAACAAGGACTCGTCAGGGAATTACCAGCTTTACCAGATTTACCAGTGCGTCGACACTTCCGGGTCCAAACTAATCGAATGTCCAGTGTTTCCTAAGGGCGCATGCTCTTCGGAGATCGAGTTCCCTTCTTTCTAGAACTTAAATATGCGGTTGGTGTCGCGTCGTGTCAGGCTATAAGCATCTGTTGCTCTGCTTCATTCGCATAATTCTCGAAACGTGACTCCATCCAATTCTTTCACATGATATCGTCACTAGTATAGGCCTTAATAACATGGCTAATGTACGTAGCCTCTTCAGCAAATGGCCATGTCTACGTCGATTTCGTTGCTTCAGACATTGTATCATCTGAGCATGCTTTAACCGAAAAGCCAGAAAGAACGTAGCGTCTCGTGAACTTTCTCAAGAGGGTATGGCTTGTACGCAATTGGCTCCGTTTGATCTAAGATTGTGCTACTGTAATCATAACTAACACAACCACATATCGCATCACTTGCTCAGGTTCCGTTTGTTTCGTGAAAAATAAATTATTTGAAATTTTTTTTCTAAAACAATAATCGCTTGTATCACTTAAAACAGTTAGTCGATGGAGAATATTTTCATTATTGATAATAATTTAAGTCTAAATATTTTTGTGGACAATATAAATATTTATTGTTCATTTATTTTTGTAAGCGGTACATATATATTCACTGTGAAAATATGCACATAGGAATACCTTCGTCAAAGACTTTGCGCTTAAAAATATATATATGCTAATTCATAGAGATAGCACCTATCTTTGTCCTCATCCTGCATTTAAGTCTTTAAAGAACAATAATTAGATATGTTGGAATAGCTGTTAGAAGCAACATGCGACAAGAAATCGGTGGTTTATTTGATTCTTAAGTGTGTGAAGTATGTATTCGATGATACAATGACCGTCTGATGAAGTTTTCTCCAATGCGATTAGCATTATCAGGGTCCATTTATTTCACGAAAAAATTAATGATTTGAAAAACGTTATCCTAAAAATGGTCACTTGAATCGCTCGAAATAACTAATCAATGAAAATGTTTTTATCGTCGACTGCAATTTATGTCTAAATGTTTTTGTGAACGATGAAAATATTTTTTATTTGTTCATCTTTGTAAGTGATACAAGCAACCATTTTCAAGAAAACGTTTCCCAAATTATTTATTTTTCTCGAAACGAACGGAACTTGCTAGCCCATATGTGTGTTAGCTGTAGATGTGACCTTAAAAGCATTGATTCTTTAGATGCAATCGACTACGATGTGGAGAGATTATACGGAACGTTTGTATGACTTCTCAGACAACCAAACTATAACTCTTATCAGTAAAATGATCGCATGTTATCTTAGCTGTTTGATATTGTAAAATTTGTGATTATCCTAATCTTATGCTCGGCCTTTGAGTTAAGGTAAAGTTGGCCCGACGTGGAAGGTTTGCAAACGAAAGAGAGACTTGTTAATTTGGTCTCACGCATACGATGCAAATATAAAAAAACTTTTTTGTACGATTAGGTAATTTGATAGAAAAGTTGATAAATTAAAATAAAAAATCAAATAACCGTTGTATATTTGTTTTTGTTGAAAGAAAGAGCCATTTTACTCGAGAGGTACATAAAAGGCTTTTAAGCCTAGTAAATCCCCAATCACTGAAGAACAAAGCAAAAGGTTAAGAGCAAATAACAAAGGACAGTCTGCAGTTACAATCACACTCTCATCCCTCAAGAACAGATTTACCACCATAAACAATCAATGGTCGATCACCAAATTCAATGATAAATACACCCTGAGATTTCCCACTCCATTTGCAATGGATTGCGATGTGTATCTAGGTTCAACGTCCTCATCGCCATCGCCGTGCAAAGACACCAACACCAAAATGTTGAAAAAACACAAATCAAATACCTATAAGGAGCTCTTACATCTATATCTAGATCTAGTTCGAAAGAGTAAAACCCAAAAAAACTTTATCTATATCTAAATCGGGAGAAGAGAACAGTGTAATCTCAGAGAGGATGTAGAGCCCCGTTACAAACATCCTCCTCGGTGGCTGTTGACTGGATGAATGGCCCAACTGGTCTTCACGTTCACGCAAGATTAGCTAGTGAAATTTATTCACACACACAAACTCTCGAAACATATCCGGAGGGAAAAGAAAGATAGAAAGCCTCAAAAGAGAGAGAGAGAGAGAGAGAGAGAGAGAGAGAGAGAGAGAAAGGTCTCTCTCAAGGACAACATTGCAGAGAGGCGGCGGTTTCAAGGGAAAGGAGAGGAAACCCTAACCTAATAACATTTGTATCTAACTAAAATGGAAATTGGTAAATCATAACTAGTTGATAACTTAACCGAAGAAAAGTTGATAAATCATTAAAATTGATGTCAAGAATTTCGTATAAGATTTCATTCATTCAAGACGTCTTACGAAAAGTAAGTACAAGTTAGTAACAGATGAGAAAAGTTGGTAATTAAAAGAAAAATGAACTTGGTCAGAAACTAATAAGAATTAATAACCCAAAACTAATTGATACTTTAATCGGATAAAAGTGAGTAAGTGGCTCTAATTGAGATTGATGGTCTCTAAAAAGAGCCGGTAAATTTAAGGCATTCCCAAGTAATCAAACAAAATCTCGTAAACAATGAGAAAAGTTGGCAAATAGTAAAATAATTAAATACGTTGGTAAATAATTCAAATGAGAGTTAGTAATCAATAGAATGTGATCGATTAAATTTCAAAAAAAATTTTTGAGTCGTGCTAATTTAAGGCATTCACAAGTAATCAAACAAAATCTCGTAAACAATGAGAAAAGTTGGCAAATAGTAAAATAATAGGAAAATATCACAAAAAACCCCAAATTATGCCATTTGTGACAAATTTATACTGAATTTTTTTTTGTGATACAAAAAATCCCGAACTATACCACTTGTAACAAATTTACCCTGAACTTTTTTTGTGATATGAAAAACCCCAAATTATGCCACTTGTGACACATTTATCCCACAATACTTTGGCCCATGGGTATTTTCGTCTTTTTCATTTTTCTGTTTTTTTTTCCTTTTTTTTTCTTTTCTTCTCTCTTCCCTCCACCGGCCATGGCGGAGGGAAGCCGGCGAGGGCCGCCCTCGCCGGTGCTGGGGTTGGGCGAGGGCGAGCCTCGCCAGCGTCGGGCGAGCCTCGCCGGCGTCGGGGGAGCCTCGCCGGCGTCGGGCGAGGACTGCCTTCGCCCGCCCAGGTGAGGGCGGGCGAGGGTCGCCCTCGCTAGATCCGGCGAGGGCAGCCCTAGTCGGCGTCAGGCGAGAGTCGCCCTCGCTTGGGCCGGCGAGGGTGACCCTCGCCGGCGTCGGGCAAGGGCGACTCTCGCCCGACGCCGGCAAGGGTCACCCTCGCCCGACGCCGGCGAGTGTCGCCCTTGCCAGATCCGGCGAGGGCCGCCCTCGCCGACTTCCCTCCACCATGGCCGGCGGAGGGAAGAGAGAAGAAAAGAAAAAAAAAGGAAAAAAAAAAAAGAAAAAGGAAAAAGACGAAAATGCCCATGGGCCAAAATATTACGAGGTAAATGTGTCACAAATGGCATAATTTGGGATTTTTCGTGTCACAAAAAAAATTTTAGGGTAAATTTATCACAAGTGGCATAGTTTGGGGTTTTTCGTGTCACAAAAAAAAAGTTCAGGGTAAATTTATCACAAGTGGCGTAGTTTGGGGTTTTATGTGGTATTTTCCCTAAAATAATTAAATACGTTGGTAAATAATTCAAATGAGAGTTAGTGATCAATACAATGAGATCAATTAAATTTCAGAAAAGTTTCTTCAGTCGTGCTTATTTGGGTTGTATCTGTTGACACCCAAAATTACCCCTGGTGGGAGTGGGCCGTTCACAAGTTACAGAAAATATAAAGTACGGCCCACATGGCGAAAATCCGAAAAAGGCCGCAAGTCAGGCCCAGAGGCATTAAGAAGACCTAAGGTAATTATCGACAGGACACGTCATAGAGGTGTCGACAAGTTTAAAATCACGAGCCATGCACGTGACATCGACGAGTTCAAGATCACGAGCTTTGCACGTGACGTCAACAAAGTTCAAAATCACGAGCTTTGCACGTGACGTCGACGAATCCAAGATCACGAACTTTGTACGTGATGTCGACAAAGTTCAAAATCACGAGCTTTGCACGGAATCATGGTAATACGTGACGAAAAATTCATTTACACGTGTCAAAAGGTAAAAATATGACCGTGGGCGTGAAGAATGACAAAAAATAAAGAGACACGTGGAAGAAAATTAGCTATTACGTGATGCCCAAGGAGCGTAAGCAATGTCGACAAGTCAGGAAACGGTTAAAACGCGAAACGTAAGGAAGTGAAAAACGACTTTCAAGGAGAAGTGTTCGGTCAACAGTTATCAAGCTGCTCTATAAATACTCAAGGATTTCCAACGTAGAATGGACCCTTTCGCAAACAACACAACATATCTTTTATCTAGCTTTACTTTTAGCGCATTCAGAGTAGTTTTAGCTGTAATTTTCAGATTCTGCGTCGTAGATTCAATTCCGGCAAGAGTCTTTATCAGGTTCAACATTGTTGATTAAATTCCAATGTTGTGCCATTAGTTCAGCATCATCGATTAAATTCCGGCGTTGTGCTTGGAATATAGCTGTTGATTAGATTCCAGTCATATTCTCTCAAGTTACGTCATTGATTAGATTCTGACGTACTTTGAATGGTAATACCGCATATTAGTTGTGTCATTGATTAGATTCCGACATAACTTGGTCTCGGTATTTGCAAGTTGTCATCCCATTATTAGTATTATCGAGTTTGGTATATTGTTCAGTCAAGTTGTAAGTTTGACTTAATAAACGCATTTGACATTCTCTGTCCGAGCTTGACTCAAGACCCTAGTCTCCTCTAATAAAATCCGAAACGCAACGTTCGGTGAAAGATTTTCAACGGGATAAAACCGGCGAAACAGTATCCATCATGGCGCTCGACTTTGTCTCTGTGTGTGAACAACTTCGTCCCTCGATCTACGTGGGAAACTATCCTTGCACGAAACATGGTCTGCCAAATATTGTAACTTCTAAGCTCAGTTTTCTCGAACATTACACTTATTTAAATAGTATTACTTCCGACCTCAGTTTACTCGAACACTACACGTAATTAGATTCTAGTTTATAAGCAAACCCTACCTATAATACCAATCCGGGACGTAAGAGAGGTGTGGAAACCGTTAAATGCGCATGAATCATATTTAAAAAAATGAGGTTGCAAAAGCATAGACCCTACGGCATATCCTGTTCTTGGTCTTACATTAAAGCCTATATATACAGTTGTTTAACATTAAACAGACCTACCATTTCACAAGCTCAAGAGCTCAAATTCTTTTCACAGGAACTTGGAGAGAGAGAGATGAAAGCCAAGTGTTCATTTGCGATCATCATAACAGTCTTGGCAACACATTGTCTGTCTGTTCTTTGTGCTGTGGACGACTTCGATTTTTTCTATTTCGTTCAACAAGTAAGATGTCTCAACTTTTTCTACCTCGTGCTGTCTGATTCTTTTCACGTTTTTTTTTCTTGGATTGATGTTTGATATTCCGTATGATTTTATGAAGTGGCCGGGATCATACTGCGATACGAAGCGTAAGTGTTGCTACCCGAAAACAGGAAAGCCAGCGTCGGATTTCAGCATCCATGGACTGTGGCCTAACTACAAGGATGGCACTTACCCTTCTAACTGTAACCCTGAGAATGCTTTCGATAAATCTGAGGTAATTGTCTTTTTTCTTGTTTTCCTTGACTTGATCCATATACAGTTCTCGAACTTGAATGTAGTCAACCCTGTCAATGGATCTGGCAACAAGAAGAATTTCCTCAACTCAAAACTTTAGTTTGAAACAAAAATATGGCAATAATTTTAGGTTTCCAGAGTTGAGTGTATATCATAAGATGGTGAAAATAGTTCCAGCGCAACTAGAAATGAAATATGCATTGTTAAATGAGAGAATTGATGGGACTTTGCGACAACAAAGAGAAAGGGTTCTGCCAACTCGGAAGATACTAAATGTGGAAAGCTTGAGCCTAACAAACTTGGATCGAACACTCAACCATTTGATCTTGGTAATTTCGATTCATGCCCATGTTCTAAGTATTGTGATCTGCGATTGTTGGGGCTGGTCACCCTGGATTAGGAATCGCAAAATATATAACTCTGGATATTGAATGGAAAGGTCAACACCTATGCCGCTCGTAGATTGATCAACAGATCGATCCGTTTGTGATGTGGGATCGAGATCTATTATTATACATTTGTCCAAAAAAGTTGAAGATCCATACATGGTTACCAGCTCTAGTGAGTTTAGTCTTCACAGTGGATCACATAAATGTTATGGAGTTGACGCAACATGATATTTCTGATTGGAGTGCACCTGTGTCACACGAAGTCATGAACGGCAGGTCTCTTGGCATTTAATACTGCTAGTTGAAGCTACTCTTTTCACTAATATGTGATGCACGTAATGATATATTCTAGGATTAATGAACATGAAGGACGTTGAGAAGCTGACCTTTGATTAAATAAAACTCTATAGTCGCTCGCACATCACGTAATGCCATACTTATCCAAGGTGAACTAGAGTTGAAAAGTTCAGTTCATCAAAATGTATCTTATCAATCACTTTTCTAAGCGCTAGCTCGTAAAATCATACGAAGATGTTAAAACCAACTGACAACGGGATTCAAGTTCTTAACAAACCAATTTAATAAGCCAGTCTTAGTAAGTCTTAACATTTTCTTCACGATATATAAATTGCAAAAAGAAAATACAGCCAAGGAGCTTGCTGATTTTGGGTACTAATGTAGATAATTTGTTCGATGAATTCATGTTGTCTTTGTAAAATGGCACAGATTTCTGATCTGATCGGCAGTTTGGAGAAGAACTGGCCATCATTGACATGCCCGAGCAGCGACGACACCAAGTTCTGGACACACGAATGGGACAAGCACGGGACTTGCTCCGAGTCCGAACTCGATCAACACGAGTATTTCGAAGCAGCCCTCAAGCTCAAACAGAAAGTGAACCTCCTCCAAATCCTAGAAAATGCCGGTAAGGTTTACGTAATTGCGTGGACTCTCCTTCTAAGTAATCGAGTCTATGACTAATGATGAGAAACCTCTCGTGCAGGAATCAAGCCAAACAACGAGTTTTATAGCCTAGAGAGCGTGAAAGAAGCAATCAAGGAGGCCGTTGGATTTGAACCTGGATTGGAATGCAACGTGGATTCATCGGGCCACAGTCAGATTTATCAGATGTTCGTTTGTGTGGACACTTCTGGTTCGGAGCTCATCAAATGTCCGGTTTTGCCCAGGAGCAGATGTGCTTCCAAGGTCCAGTTTCCCTCATTTTAATCAGGGCATTGATGGACTGATTTGTAGTCAAAGTTAATAACTTGTCCATCCATTGGACTAACTTGTATCCACCTTTCTTTCGGAATAAACGCTTGATCTAGTTTCGCACTGAAGCCGACCAGCTGTAATTTATGAAAATGCTAACCTTTGGGATCTTTTGAGATGAATTCGATTTATATTTAAACTATTCGAAAGATGATGGGGGTTTAGCTTTCATTGGGAGGAGGAACAGTTCTTCAGGTGCTTTCATGTGTTGATATCCATGCTTCCTCCGACAAGGTACGCCTGGTCCCAGTTCCATGTTAGTCCTTAAATTATTGAAGGAACTGGTTGCTTGACGTTTCGCACAGAATAAAATAATGCACGTCCGATCTAACAATATTCGTTGCAGTTTCGTAGGAAACCTCAGGCTTTGGATCTATTAAGGGGGTCGATATCTGGATCTCTCTTTAAGGAAGAGCTCATCCCTACCCTTTGTGGTGGTTGTTACGCTGAACCCAACCTACCCTTTAAAACTCTAGCCGCCTGTTCTGTCGCTGTGATCTTTTTCCCTTCTAGTTTTATGCTTTATTCCTCAGCCTTCTCGTCATTCGTTGTTGGCTTCGTTCCAACGTTCAGTAGTCCCTGGCTAAAGGAAGCATGTGGGATGAGGACGATGTTGCTGGTGCTCGCATTGATATTCTCAGCAGGAGATTAGGTAAATTCTAGTTAGATGATGATGTAGTTGTGACGGTCGGTTTGGTTTCCAGCGAGGAACTAAGTGAGTGCTGTCTTACCCTCTTTGCGCAACTTTTATGCAAACCCTAGTGTGAGTTTTTTCAAGCATTTCAAAATACTATGCGGAAAGTTTAGACGAATGAAAATGTAGCCATTACACAAATGGATTCGGAAAGTTTAGAGGAGTGAAAAATGGAGTGTTAGAAGCTAGACCATGGTCCTTCGCAAACCATTTCTATTGCTTAAACCTTGGAAGCCTAATGCATCACCACATTGCTATTGAAGACTATGTTTGCTTATTGAAGAAATATCTTTATAAGTTGAAACAGTCTCCTAGGCAATGGTATAAGCATTTTAAAACTTTCATGGATAGCCAAGAATATTCAAAAAGTCAGTTGAATAGTGTGCTTATTTTAGGAGATTGGAATATGGATCTTTGATTTATCAGTTAATATATATTGATGACATGTTGATAGCGGCTAGAAGTATGCCCAATATTGATGTGTTGTGACGGAGTTGAGTGTTGAGTTTAAGATGAGTAATTTGGGTGCTGCAAAGAAGACATTGCGAATGGAGATTCTGCGTAGACCTGTCAAATGGGTTCGGTTCGGATTGGGTCGGGTCGTAAATGGTCCAATTCAAATAGACTCATTTAACCTATTTTGACCCATTTCTATGTAATACAAATCTAATGACCCATGCCCGACCCGATCTATATTACTAAAATACTTTCATATTTAACTCAATTTAAAAAAACTCATATCCAAACTGAGATAAGAGTGTGGAGTGAGTGGGCGCGAGAATGAGGAGGATGAGAGAGATAAGTTGAGTTTAAATAAGTTGCAAACCCATTTACAACCGATTCATGACCCATTTAACATTCATATTATGTTTATACCTATTTATGACCCATTTAATGAATATAATTAATCAATTTATGACCTATTTAATAATATACGGGTTAAGAAATGATTTTATGACACATTTTGATAGATATAAGGTTGCAGGTGTCTTACATGTCCCAAGGAAATATATTAAGAAAACTATAATGCATTTTGACATGCACTCAGCAAAGTTTGTGAACCTTTAGCTACTCACTTCAAACTTTCTATAAGTTACTCGAATAATGAGGAGGAGGAACATATGTCCCGGGTTCCTTATTCTAGTACAAGGGGTTGCATTATGTGCACCATAGTTTGCACTCGGCGTGCATTTCACAATCTTTGAACATCGTTAGCTATTACATGAAGCATCCTCGTAAGACTCAATGAGAAACTGTGAAGTAGATCCTCGTATATTTGAGGCGATAATAGACGTTAGTGTTGTGTACCGAAGGGACGACAATGGCAATGAGATTGCAGGCTAAATTAGTAGTGCAACTTTCTATGCTAGGAGAATGTGTTACACCTTCACCCCCATTGGAAAACTCGCAAAATGCCGGACCATGTTTGAAACAAGTCAAATTTTACATCCCATCTCCAATACAGTGAGCCAAATTAAAACCATTTGCGTTCCATTATTTATACTTATAGGGGTTTTCTAAATCTAAAAGCCATGTAGTTGAGGGAAAGCTACTCAATCTAATGTAATCATGTCTCTTGAGATTTAATTAACCACGTGACCCTTAACGTTTGCTAATTATATGCTCGATTCAACCCTACCACAAGTGTTATGGTTGGCTTAGAATTAACAAAATACAATGAAGTAAATCAACGCCGTAGCAACCCATGCCATCTTCCCAATCCTCTCGTATTAGAGAAATGTCCTCTCAATGCCTTACTGCCCAAACAATTTAGGTGTCAATGGACAATTTAACTAACTCCGAATATCTTGACCAATCGACAGCAACTATCATATCCCCTCAATTATAAATTATGGAGGTCAATTAAGCCGTGGTTTCTTTTAACATAGTTCATTTCATTATCGACAAAGTTCAAACATGAACCTTAAAAAACACAAAGGCATGAACCCTTAGTAGCCCCAGCAAGAAACATGTGGATCAAGTCGGTGGTACCCACTTTGGGTACACATTTAGCTACTCACTTCAAACTTTTCGATAAGTTATCACCCCAAATAATGAGGAGGAGGAGCGTATGTCCCGAGTTCCTTATTCTAGTACAAGGGATTGCATTATGTGCACCATAGTTTGCACTCGGTGTGCATTTCACCATTCTTTGAGCATCGTTAGCTATTACAAGAAACATCCAAGTAAGACTCAATGAGAAACTGTGAAGTAGATCCTGGTATATTTGAGACAATAGTAGATGTTGCTGTTGTGTACCGAAGGGATGACAATGGCAATGAGACTGCAAGCTAAATTAGTAGTGCAACTTCTTATGCTGGGAGAATATGTTACACCTTCACCCCCACTGGAAAACTTGCAAAATGCCGGACCATGTTTGAAGCAAGTCAAATTTTACATCCCATTTCCGATTCAAGTGAGCCAAATTAAAACCATATGCGTTCCATGATTTATACTTAGATGGGTTTTCTAAATCTAATAGACATTTAGTTGAGGGAAAACTACTCAATCTAATGTAATTTTAATCACGTGACTCCTAACGTTTGCTAATTATATGCTCGATTCAACCCTACCACAAGTGTTATGGTTGGCTTGGAATTAACAAAACACGATGAAGTAAATCAACGCCGTAGCAACCCACGCCGTCTTCCCAGTCCTCTCATATTAGGGAAATGTCCTCTCAATGTATTACTGCCCAAGCAGTTTATGTGTCGATGGACAATTTAGCTAACTCCGAATATCCTGACCAATCGACAGTAGCCATCATATCCCCTTGATTATAAATTACGGAGGTCAATTAAGCCGTGGTTTCTTTTAACATAATTCATTTCATTGTCGACAAAGTTCAAACATGAACCTTAAAAAACACAAAGGCACGGACCCTTAGTAGCCCCAGCAGGAAACATGTGGATGAAGTCGGTGGTACCCACTTTGGGTAGTCTGGGTACATGATATTCTGTCGATGGGCCAGGGCACCAAATCAGGCCGGATCAAGCGAGCGGGTCGGTTTAGACCCGCCCCCATTTAGGCACCCGAAGCAGGGAAAGTGGAGCGGTCCTACTCAAGCACTCCAATGGTGCCGTCCGCAGCTGATCCGCACCGAGAAAATCTCTACTTGGGAATATTGCTAAAAAGGACAATAACACAAATAATCTCAAACTTTTTACCCAAAGTGCATTATCATCTCTAAAATTTTTATTTATTTAGTATAATTTCAGAAATTTAACCTAATATTCAATATAATTCCCGAATTATATGAAAATATTTAATTTAATCCTTTCATAAATTTCAAAATTAATGTAATCCAGCCTGTCTAGTGACTAAATTGAATAAATAATAAAAATTTAAAAATTATATTAAATTAATTAAAAATTCATGAATTACATTATATATTAAACTAAATTTCAGGGATCGCATTAAACAAATTATTAAAGTTCAGGAATCCCGTTACTAATCGAACCAAAATTTAAATACCATTTACGTACGCGATTTTACCTTCCTAAAACAAACTCCGGGGCTGCTTCGTCTTCGTCCGTTTCTTCTTCTTCTTCTTCTTCTTCTTCTTCATCATCTTCAAAGTTCCAACTGACGAGAATGGTTTTCCAGATCCTTCCACCACCTTCCCGTATGTCCCCAACTCCTTCCCCCCCTTATAAACCCTCCCTCCATTCCTCGCACTCTCTCGTCCTCCATAACCAAAATCAACTGCCCCCTCTCGCTCCAGCTCTTGATCAACGTCCACCGAAGCTCCCCGCTCGTCGACGGACGCCGCCTCCCTCCTCCACATCACAAACCTCCCTCTCTTCCTCCCCTTCTTCCTCGGCTTCTCGGCCTCCGCGCCCCTGCCCGACCAGACCGGCTCCGGCTCTCGGCCCCGGCCTGACCGGTTCGTCTTCATCGACCCCTTCGCCCGGAGCCTGGTCCTCGTCGGGACCGCCGGCCCGGACCCCGCGCGGGGCGCCGAGGGCGGGCGGCCCCCGGCGTCGAGGGCGTCGGTCGAGGCCATGCCGGGCGTGGAGGTGGAGGAAGGCCGCGAGTGGGAGTGCGCCGTTTGCCTGGACAGCGTCGCGGCCGGGGAGCCGGCGAAGGAGATGCCGTGCAGGCACCGGTTCCACGGGGGCTGCATCGAGCGGTGGCTGGGGATCCACGGGACGTGCCCCGTGTGCAGGTACGAGATGCCCGGTCGAGGAAGGAGAGGCCGGCGAGAAGCGAGGAGGGGGAGTCTGGGTGAGCTTCGCTTTTGGCGTCGGCGGCGGCGACGACGATCGCGTTTCTTCTTCTTCTTCTTCTTCTTAGATATCTGGAGGCGATGGATTGGTCGGAGATTCATTTTGTTTACTTTTCTTCTTTTTCGTTCCATACAAATTGTACAGCGTTACACGTCTTCAGTTCATTTCAATTGGTAATCGAAGTGTTGGTGTGGCCATTCTTGAAAGATTCAGACACTTTGCCTCGAGAAATCCAAACTCCGACGTCACAAGATCGATTAAGAAATCATCATGAACTTACACTCGTTTCTAATACAAAGCAATGAACACCTAGAGAGAGATTGATGGAAACACAGTCAATGCATCTTCAGATCAAGATCTTGCATCAAGAAAGCTTGATGAAGTAGTCAGCTTTAGATGGTTTTATTGCGCATAGAGTTTTGCTAGGGATGATCTTGGGTGTTAGAGGCGCCAAATTGTCCTCTTTCTCTTAGAATCTTGATGCCCTGGTATCTCCCTAACATCATTAGCGTAGCCATTGGATTTGTCCCCGGCGATTCCAGGAATGTTGACCCGTCGACCACCCTCAATCCCTTCACGCCGTAGACCCTGTAGTCCTCGTCGACCACCGAACCGACCCCACAACCGCCATGGTAGTGGTAGAATGTCCGCACGTTCTGCTTGCAGAACTCGGCCAGCTCTTCTTCGCCCGACAGTTCGTCCTCCTTGTGCTCGACCCCCAGGAAAACAGAGACGGCCTGAGACCTCACGACACTCTGGAGCAGCTGCGCCATCTCGATGCACGCCTTCATGTCCTCTTCCTTGGATAGGTAGTTGAATGTCACCGCAGGGTTCTGCCTCGGGTCCGTGCTGTTCAGTTTCAGCCTGCCTCTCGATGCCGGGAAGGCATACTTGACTGCGACCGGCATCCTTGTTGCATTGAGACTTATGGGGAGGATCCCTGCTTCGATGATGAATTTGAGATCATGGGCAATGCCGGCCACTACGGGTGGTTCGGGCAGCCGATCCTGTGGTTTGGCATCTGCGAGAAGCGCCATGCACGGATTATCTTGCATTCCTCGGCCCACTCCCCTGAGGTCACTTAGCAACGAGATGTTGAACTTCTTGAGATGTTCAGGAGGACCAATTCCGCTAAGTAACAGCATTTGGGGACTCCCTAGTGACCCTGCAGCTAAAATGACTTCGCCGAACAATGTCGAATCATTTGCGTAATTGAGGTAAGCTTCGTATGATTCTTCCAAGCTCCCATTGCTCTTGATGTACGTAATGCCACAAGCCCGGGTCTCATTGTTATCGCCTACAAAAATGGAAAAGTTATCAAGTGGAAGTGTTGAGTATGTGACCTTCTTTGGCCAAGAAAGTTTGCGTGAATGTAATGCTTTACGACATAACGGTCTGAGTGGCTCACTGTGATTGCAGAAGAGGAGATTCCTCACGGTTGAATTTACGAGCACGGTCAAGTTTTCCATATACCCTGCCTCTAGGAGATCGGCGGATGTATGCCTGGTTCCGTAATTGTCGAACACGCTTCCACCAATCTTTGTTCCTTCGAGATGTTCCAGCGTATAGCCGTTATACGGGAAAATTCCTGCTTCAAGGAATCCAAACTCGGCGACAAACTGCCATGGGGTCAACTCCGGCTGAAAAACCACTCTCGACTCCACCCATCTGTATGCATCCTCTACCAGCTCTACGTCCCATCCGACTCTTTTAACAAAATCAGCACTAGCTCTGCTGTAGAAACCACCATTAATAGCGGACGACCCTCCCAGAACCCGTCCTCTGTGATTTGTAACCCCTTCTCCGGAGATGAAGCTCTGTGCCACTGATGAATACTCATCGGTGTTGAGCAGCGAGAAACCATAGTATTTTCTATCCATGACTAAGGGGTCCTCATAAGGCGATCCACCACGCTCGACCAACAGTACGGAGAATTTCTCGGAGAGAGTCGCCGCTAGAGGACATCCTGCAGTTCCTCCCCCGACGATAATGTAATTGAAAGACTTGCCCGAGATTTCTTTGAGGTCTGAAGTCATGTAAGGTGGCCTGTTTCCTTGAATGGGGGAGCAAGATGACCAAAAGATGCTATCAGAATCCAGATCAATGTCGATCTAAATTTGCAAAGCATGATTCTAAATAACATAATCAATACAAACATAGTTACTTCCGAAACAAGATAAGAACTACAAGGTAAAGTTGCATACCTTGAGACAGTGTACAAGGAAATGAAGACAATATCTGAAGTAAAAGGATCGATCTTATCGAAAGCGGATGAGTTTTACGCAGAATCCCCATGTTTGGTCCTTCCCCTGATCTGACCAGAAGGGAGGAAGAAGTGATATATTTATTAGTTCTAATGGCTCATTATCGTCTTAATAAATATCCACACGCTACTGGTGTAATCGATGGCATTTTCCTTGCTTTGATATCGCCTGCGTACGCATACTTGGTCCAATGATTCACTCTTATTCTTTTGGGGAACTAATGATTTTGCTTCTGCAATGAGTTTCCTCCACTCTGTATGCTTTAATCACTACACTTTTCATGTATCTGCGTACTTAAGTTAATATAATTCACTCTTTTTCTTTTGGGGAACTAATGATTTCGCTTCAGTGATGAGTTTCCTCCACTCTGTATTCTTTAATCACTATCTATATCATGTATCTGCTTACTTAATGTACAGTCCTGCCTCACTTGTGTTGAAGACAAAAACACAATGATAGTGTTTTGTGCAGGAGTCAACTTGCCTGGATTGGTTAAGGCGAGCTCTAAAATGGGATAATGTACTTTAACGGAGAATTCGATGGCACATATCGGCCAACACGTATCCACACAACATATATTGATTTTTCTTTATATATATAATGTGCTTTGAGGAATTCTTGCGGGTCCATTTACACGCCAATATACATAGTCTACAACCGAAAAGATCAGCACTCAGATTGAATTTTGATGCATGGTGCACTCCGTAAGCCTCTCAATCCTGTCTTGTCCCAAAAGCTCCAAAAGAACTAGAAATGCCCATTTGCCTGTTCGATTCCCTGAAAGTTCAAGTCTATGCTTTTCGGGCCTGGATCGAAGTCGGCCTGATATTGGCTGTTCAAGTCAAGTGTCGCCGGGAGTCCACATTTTTTCAGCTTGTAACTTGTCTTCGGAGAACTTTTGCTAGATTGTTCCGCAATGAGACCATTATCATCGGAACTACTGCTGGCACATCTCTTCCTCCCTATGGCTTTGTTGCATTTGTTCTGTGAAGGTAGTTCTTCTGGCCGTATGTTACTTAACCGAAGCTCGATTGAAGTTGGACTAAAGTTGTGCGTTTCGCCATGCTCCGTGCCCTTTTGCTTCTCTTCATTTCGACCCGAGCTCTCAGAAGAAGTTAACGAACTTTCTACTGAACATATACCTTTCAATTGTTTCCTAACTGCATCATTGAGGCCTGAACTTCCTAATTCCGTCAGTTCCGAGAAAGGAGAATCGGGGCAGCCGGAGCTAACCATCGAAACTAATTGAGACAGTTCGGCTTTTGCGGCTTCGATGCCAACTGAGGAATTATTGTACCGAGCTAATGTTTCCTGAGCTTTTCTCAGTACAGATTGGAGATACTTGCCTTGAGCTTCGATGCGTAGCTGCAAATGCTTCTGCACCTGAGAGGAAAGTAGAACTAAATTGGCATCTGCAGCAAAGTCAAAAGGCTTGCATGAGAAATGCGCATGCTGGTCTTACCTCAATTTGTTCATGAAGGTTTCTCTGCACTTCCAATTGCATTTGGAGAGCCTGAGCTATCTGCAAGCTTCTGGTACATGAAAAGGATCGGTGAGTACATCCCTCTGTCCAATCACGGCATTATCAATATTTAATAAGATGTGATATATCAGTTAGTCTTACTCATTGATTTGGAAGGTCGATGGATCGATTATTTGGGTATTTTGAGATTCGTCTGTACTCTGAACCTCTTTGTTTTCTGCAATTAAGCAACAAAACAAGTTCATCATTGAAATCAATTAAACACAAGCTCTAAAGATTGGGATCATTAGTTAGTGGCTCAACCTGTTGCGTAGAATTCACCTTCTTGCTTCGTGTCAATGCAGGACTCTGACTGTTGGCTTTTTCCAAGCCTGTACTTCTGCAGAAAAAAGAAGCAAACTTTTCATTTAGCTTTTCCAATTGGTATCAGTAACAGTGATAACTGTAGCAATTTGAAGCATGAAAATTGCCTGTAAATGGCTCTTCAGGTGGTACAAAGTCAGCCCAGCAATGCCCATCGCTCTCATCAAACTTTTCGGGGTTGCCTCTGTCCACAACAAAAAATCACGAACATCAGTTGGCACTCGCAGACCGATGATTAAATCTTTCATTTCTACCCTAAAACGTATGTAAAACAATCGGGACTATACAAACTTAACTGTCTGCTCCGCCCAGTTGTACAACCGCTTCAACGAACCGATGATGAAGCTCAGGAGTCCACTTCAACCTGGGCTTTGCATCAGTGGACAGCACCAGATTCATCTTGTGATGATTTTGCAGACCCATTTGAGATGTTGTTTGTAGGATGGGAATGAGAGACAGAGTATGGGCGATGACAGAAACATAAATATAGGATTAGGAGGGTGTTTTGGGTCTCTGATCCTTCCTTCTTTTCTTGGGTGTCTAGCTTTGGTTGATTATGTGGGAGGTGTGTGGTTCTCTATATAAAATTTGTGGAGTTGTTGGGCTGTCCTATGTTCCTTCACTCCATATCTGGAAACATGAGTGGGGCAATGTTGGGGTAAGGGAATATATGCCCTCACTCACTCAGTCTCTGGCTCTTCGCCTTTTCTTTTTCAATCTCTCTCAATCCATACCAACTTTTCTTTTCTAGAGAATTTTCTTTTCTTTTCTTGCTTTCTTTCTTCTTTGACTTGAAAGAGGGGGTGGGATGGAGAGAATCTCTGGTGCAGCTAAAAATCAAAGAAAGCCAACACACATCAATTTGATGAGTCTCAAAAGGATAGAAAAGAGCCAAAAAATAAAGTACATGGTTTGTTTCTGTCTTGCTGTTTTTCCACCTCTCTCTCTCTCTCTCTCTCTCTCTCTCTCTGCTTGATTCCCTAGTGAATGAGAGAGGTTTGGCCCACCAAGAGTCCATGCATCCTCAATGCATATAGTACAGCTTTCCTTATACTTGAGAAGCTTTGAGTGTTCAAGAATAATAAAAATAAAGCTAGAGGGGAAGGCTGTGTTGTTTTCCCTTTTCTACTTAGATTAAGGCTATGTATTGTTGACAACTATTTTTTTTTTAATTTTTCCCAAAATTAATTATGCAAAAATAAGGGCGGTCGCGACAAGTATGATAAGATTAATTTGCTAAATTAGCATATTACTTTTATGTTGACAAATTGTAAATAGGCTTTTCAACAAACGGGTCATATTCTACAATGTCTAATAGAATTTTTCCGCATCACTCAGTATACTCAAAGATGATTCTCACGAGGGGCATGAAATGCAGTATTCGAAAGAATTAAAAGATGATAAATGGGTCTTTAGTCTCTTAATAATGCTTCATCTTTCTGATATGACCCGTTCCAATGTTCTGAGGAGGGATTGGTGATGTTGGCAGATTCCTTTGTTCTTAGCAAGGAGGACAGGAATGAATGAATCCAACTTAGGTTTATTTATTTATTTATTTATTTATCTATTCTGTACAGCCGCACCTGACCTTACCTAATGTTTTTCTTGGCAAAGAATTCACACCAGAAAAGGAGAAGAGAATCAAGTCGTCCCTCTTATCTCCTAGAAGTTCTCTTTCTTTTTCTCCGAAAATGTCGAAAAAGAAGTCATCTTCAATCAATCTTCATCATCATATCGAAGGGAAGATTCGAGTTCCTTATAACCCGGTCGAGTTTATTTCTTTTCGTAGAAAATTGAAGACCAAGCATCTGTTTCTTTTCCTCTTTTTCTTCTTGTGGTGAAATATCCACACAGAAAAGAATCTCAGCCCCGGGTCCTCCATACAACCTCTCAAACAATGGCATTATTCTATTTGCCAACCGCGTACTCGTTATACCTTTTGACGTCGCGATACACCGCCATCAACTGTATAACATTAGTTAATGGGGACACAGAGGAACGTAAACATCGCGGTACACCGCTATCAATGGGGGAACATTCGTCAAACAGAGACACTGAGGAGGCAATTAATCTCACTCGAAATACAGGGATCGAGCCTTAAAAAGAACCCATCATGCCAGAAGTCCTGTTCCCCCTGTCCAAGCAAATTAAAGACGCAGTAATATTTGTAACGGTTTGACTATTTGTGTGTATGCCCATAATAGTGTTAGGATGCAGTTATCCCACGTTAGAGACTCGGGTTCCCTCTTGGCAATTTCCTAGGTGAAGGCATCAAGCCTCTAACACATGCTCCTAACAAATGATATTGATGGTAGATTGGTGAACCCCCAATCTATTATGGTGTTAGGTGAATATCCCAGCGATATTCGGACAGTAGGCGTTGTGGTGTAACAACGCGTAATGTAGGAACATGGGCACAATGACAAACTTATGGATATGTTAACAGACTCAAAGTTAGGTTCCATGTTAATGATATCCCTAGGTAAAGGTATTGAGTATTTGTTGGGCGCTTCAAATAGAATGATCCACCTCAATTGGCAAATGATCTAAGATCGTCAACTGCCTTACTAAGGAGAGAGAGAGAGAGAGAGTGAGTAATCAACCTCAATGGACAATGATCTAAGATTGTCAACCACCTTGCCACAGAGAGAGAGAGAGAGAGAGAGAGAGAGAGAGAGAGAGAGAGAGAGAGAGAGAGAGAGAGAGAGAGAGAGAGAGAGAGAGAGAGAGAGAGAGAGAGAGAGAGAGAGAGAGAGAGAGAGAGAGAGAGAGAGAGAGAGAGAGAGAGAGAGAGAGAGAGAGAGAGAGAGAGAGATTTTGGTGAATGTGATTTTTCCTAAGTAAGGTTTTGCAACAAAGTGAAGTATGATAAATCTTCGACAAAAAAAAAAAAAGAAGTATGATAAATCTGGCTTCTATTTGATTGCTTGATGGTGAGACAACTGACTATAGAGAGTTCAATCAAAAGATAAATCCTATTTTTTTATATTGAGATTTAAGCATTACATTTACAAGATCTCAATTCATTTGGCTAATCCATTTCCCATAAGAGACAATGTTCTTATGTACTCCCCCATGGCTTAAAAAATTAGATGCACAGAAGAAGATCTCGCATTCTAAACCAGATTAGAGAGATTGGAAGGAGCCCCACTACATGAAGTGACAAAAAGGCACAAGTTCTATGGCTTTTCTACTTTCTTTGCCATATAAAATGCAATCAAAGAACTGAATTATGATAAAGAAACATATTCCAAAGGGGGGGAAGACAGTGCATGCGCTTTATTAGCCTGTATTCCACAACGAGGAGATCATCCTCCTGAGCAAAAGAAATCTCCACCCAAGAAAAAGGGGGCAAAAAAAAGATAAATACATGTCATTGGCCAGCAAAAGATGGTGTAAAAGTCAAATTGAATCAGATCGATCTTTAAGGGTTTTCTTGGGTTGCAGTCGATGGTTGTTGTTGTTGTGTTGATCGCCGGAATCAAAATCCAATGATTGATCACTCCCCACCCAAAAGCACTGCCTTCCCAGTGCCATACATTCACTTGGTCTGCTACATTCATTAATATGTTTCCTTGGTGACATCCTATGCTGTTCATGATAAAGAGAAAATATGAAAAAACTATATATTGAATTAAGGCACAAGGCCAGAATAAATAGGTACAATAAAACCTAATCTATAAGATATTTTAGGGAAACAATCCCAGAGAATATACAAAGAATAATTCTACAATGACTTAGAATATATACAGAATCCCAAAGATATTGTAACACCCCCCTCAAACTCAAGGTGGATCAAACAGCGAGAGTTTGGAAAGTAGATACTGAAAGCGGGGCGCTGTAAGAGCCTTTGTAAAACCGTCAACTAACTCATCTGCTGTCCCAATAAAAGGAAGAGAGATGGTGCCAGCCTGGAGATGATGACGAGTAAGATGACAATCGATCTCAATATGTTTGGTGCGTTCATGAAAAACAGGATTAGCCCCAATATGAATGGCACTTTTGTTGTCACAATACAGAGGAGTGGGATCTTGAAGCGAGATGCCCATGTCAGCAAGTAAACGACGAAGCCAGACAATCTCAACAATAGTGTCAGCCATAGCACGATACTCAGACTCAGTAGAGGAGCGCGAGACAATCTATTGTTTCTTGGCGCGCCAAGAAATGAGAGAATCACCAAGGAAAATGCAAAATCTCGTGATGGATCGACGATCAGTTACATCAGAAGCCCTGTCAGCATCAGAATAAGCACGTAACTCGAGAGGAGAAGAGGACGGCAAAAACAAAGACTGCGTCAAAGTACCCCGAAGGTATCGCAAGATCCGCAAAAGAGCAACATAATGAGTAGACCAAGGGGCAGCAACAAACTGACTGACAACATGAACTGCATAAGCAATACTAGGTCGCGAAATAGTGAGATACACAAGGCTACTTACCAGAATCCGATAACGAGTCACATCAGAAAGAGCCTCCCCGTCATTAGGGCGAAGCTTCTGATTCAACTCAATAGGAGTGACCGCAGTACGAGAATCAAAAAGAGCAGCCCTGGAAAGAATATCGGCGGTATACTTATGCTGAGAAAGAAGAATACCACGAGAACTGCGAGCAATCTCAAGTCCGAGAAAATAACGCAATGGACCAAGATCCTTCATGGCAAAATGTTGCTGAAGATGCCTCTTGGTATGTGCAATATAAGCAGAGTCATTGCCAGTAATGACCATGTCATCCACATAAAGAAGAATGATAGTATAGCTAGAAGACGAAATATGAACAAACATAGCATGATCAGCCTCACTCTGAACAAAGTCCGCAGAACGCATAGCAGTGGTAAACTTCTCAAACCAAGCACGTGGTGCTTGTTTGAGGCCATAAAGAGCCCGTCGAAGACGACAAGCCTGACCAGGGGCGTGAGCAAGACTAGGTGGTGGCTGCATAAAGATTTCCTCCTAAAGATCCCCGTGAAGAAAAGCATTTTTCACATCGAGCTAATAGAGAGGCCAATTGCAAACAGAAGCAATAGCTAAAAGAGTACGAACAGAAGTCATCTTTGCTACCGGAGCGAAAGTCTCTTCATAGTCAATGCCATATTCCTGTGAGAAACCTCGCGCAACTAAACGCGCCTTGTAGCGCTCAATACTACCATCAGAACGATTCTTTACTTTATAGATCCAACGACAAGAAATTAAGGATCGACCCGGTGGAAGAGGAAGAAGTTCCCAAGTACCAGAACTCTGTAATGCATAAAGTTCCTCTGCCATGGCCTGACGCCACTCAGCATGTTGAACTGCCTCGCGGTAACTAGTAGGTTCCTGCACATCATGGACAACAGCCAAAAAGGAACCAAACTCGGCAGAATAAGAAGCAACAGCAACATACTGAGCAGGGGGCCGACGATCCCGAGGATGATTACGACGTAGCTCTAAAGGGGCAGAATCGTCGGTGGCAGAATCATTGGTGGCAGGGGGAACAGGAGGGGCACTAGCGGGAGGTAGTTTAGACGGAGAAGGAGGGTTAGGTATATTTAGAGGAGGAGAAGCAGAGGCAGGAGGTAGGTCAGGACAAGGATTAGCTGGAAAGTACATAAAAGGAATAGGAGTAGACACTAAAGGCATAGTGTTAGTAGAGAAGTAAGGAACATGCTCATGAAAAGTGACATTACGAGAGATACGTATGTGCTGAGTAATCGGATCGTAACAACGATATCCCTTGTG